AGAAATCCTTTCATTTGTAGTGAAGAAGCTGGAACTGGGAGACATGATGCTAAGTGAAATAAGGAAAATACCCCATGTTTTCTCTCATATGTGAAAGCCAAAAAAGGTTGGCCAGAATGTAGAATAGTGATCTCTAGAAGTGAGGATAGCAAATAAAGGGTGGCTGGGGTTGCCCAATGCACACTGTATACAATATTGAAATATCACATGGAACTCCATTAATATGTGCAATTAATAGATGCTAATAAAAATAAAATAGAAAAACATATGCATCGTGGTAGGGTGAAAGCTACGGCTGGAATATTTTGCAGCTTCTCTCATCAAGGCCAGGTTTCCCCCCACACCCCTAGAGGCTGGGCTGGCCTGTGCCTTGCCAGGACTGGTGGAAGCGGCTGAGGGACTGAGGCTCCGGAGAGCGGGCCCGGGAGCTCTGAGCTTCTACCTTCGCTGTCCTGGAGAGCGGGCCCATTGGCTGTGAGAAGCTCAGGCTGCTGCCGAGGGGCCAGGCTCAGCTAACCTGCCAGCCGCACACAGCTGCACGAGAGAGATGAGGCAGCCTGCCGGAGGCCCACTCAGCCAAGCCACAGCCCCAGAAAAAACAAGAAATCAGTGTTGCTTGTTACACACTACAGACAAGGGCTGTCCGGAAACAGCAGTTACGTGTGCTCCAGGACCCAGAAATTCCACTCTTAGGTTTTTGACCTGAGCATCCTGTGTAAGGGGAAACAAAACTCCCAGATCCTAAGCGACCACCTGCGAGAAAAGGGGTAAGTGAATTATGCTGCAGTCAACTAAGGGACTACTATGCAATAGTGAGAATGAATGAAGTGTCGCTACACGTATGAGTAGTCACAAATATCTCTGGCACAGTGTGGGGTGGAGAAAGCAAATTGCAAAAGAATGCCTACTAAAAGATATAATGCATATGTATAAAGTGTAAAGCACGTCTAAAATACCTACATCCGGCATCAGCAAACTACCATCTAGAGGCGAATGTGATCTGCTGCCTGTTTTCAGAAGCAAAGATTTACTGAAACAGGACACACAGTCATATGCAGCACAGCTCAGCACTTGAGAGGCTAGAGAGACAGATACATTAGCTATCTGGTTCTATACCGACCGGTTTGCTAGCTCCCATTCCATGCGAAGCGCAGGGGGATGATGAACCTCAAATTCAGAGGGGAAATATCTTGGAGAGTACCTCCCTTTTTTAAGTTGGGTGGCCAGTTTGTGGGTATTTGTAGTATTACTCTTTATCTTTTCCAGATGTCTTAAATATTGCATAATGAATTGAGAAAAAGAATACTCAGTACTCCTGACGCCCCTGTCTCCGTTTGCTCAATTATATTTCCCTGCAGCTATTTAAACAACTGTGAGTAGTGCGATTTGCTAAGGAGCAACGAAAAAACTTCTTGACAAGATTCGGCAAGGTTGGTCCGGACAATAAGCAAACACTGCTTGCTTGGGCACGGGCATGTGCAGAGCGACGCAGCTTTTCATCCCCCCTGTTAGTATTCAGTGACATGGCCATTCTGGGTGTGTATGGCTGCCCACTGCCGCCCACATGGCTGTCATTCACTGAGCACTTCCTGTGGGCGGGGCCTTTTATGTAGATCAGGGCTCCCAGCCAGATCTACTCCCTGCCTGTTTATGTAAATAAAGTTTTATTGGGACACATTGCCTGGCTGTTTTTATAACATAAAGGCAGAGCTCAGTAGCTATGATGGAGACAATACGGCTCCCAAGCTGGAAACTAGTTACTATGTGGAGCTTTACAGAAAAGGCCAGACAATCTCTGACATAGGTGACTTTATTTAATCCACACAGTAAGCAGGAAGCCAGATTTAGGATTACTTGCATTGTATGAGTGAGGAAACTGAGAGCCAGGAGGTGAGGTCACTGGCCCAGGTTCCCATCTCTAGCACCAGGGCTCCAGACCATGCGCTCTTGTCGCCTACCCGGTATCGTCTGGAAAGAGACTCTTTGAAAGCAACCGAGACAGTAAAATAACTTTGAACCAAATTAATTTCCATCTGATGCCATGTTTTGTCTGGGAACAGGGCTCGTTTTCTCCTTTATGTGAAAAATAATACGGCTGCATTGTTCTTGGCTGTCAGCCAGGCGGGGCAACTTCGTGTGATTGTGTCACAAGTCTTCCAGCGTAGGAGGGAGAGAGAGCAGACGAGATGCCCACACCTGTTGGCCCAGGCCTGTCACAGGTAATCCCCCAGGATTTAGGGAACGCATGTCTGGGCCGTGGGACTCACTGGGTGGGGGCTCCTTAACCCCGGGGCCGGGCTGCCTGGGTTTAATCCTGCCTCTGCCACCAGCCAGCTGGGTGACCTTGGGTGAGCTATTCGCCCTCTCTGAGCCTGTTTCTTCAGCCTTCAAGGGAGGATAATGCTGCGACCTTCCTTGTAGGGTTGAGGTGGGGATTAGAGGAGTTAATGGACATAAAGCGAAGTGAGTGACAAGAAGTCGATGACGGTGACGGTTGTTAATGCCCGACCTGATGCGCCAACAGGACCTGTCACTCCTGCCTCCGGAAGGCTCTTGACTCTTTCTGCCTGGTCGGTTCCCTGCCACAGCCTTGCCCAGGCTCCCATGATCCCTTCCGGGCTTTCTCAGTTTGCCTACCGGCCCCTCTTGCCCGCTCCATGTTGCCCTCCCCACCACAGTGTCCACCACATGTAGTCCCTGCATCGTAGCAGCCACTCTGCTCACCAGCTTGCCAACGGCTTCTGTCCCCCTTGGAATAAACCCCAAGCCTTTCGGGGGCCTCTGAGGCTCTGCCCACCTGGCCCGCATGTATTGCCTCGTGCCCCCGCCATGGCTGCTCCTCAACTGGATGCTGCACCAGGAGGCTGAACTGGCCCTGGAACCTAAGTTAAATCATTCTTATTCTCTTTTCTCTCAGGAGCTTCTTGCCTTCCTCTATACCATGCGTCACGGTTTGAAATATAAAAATTTAAGTTTGCTTAATGTTTCCCTCCCTCAAGGCCAAGGTTTGCAAGGCGGAATGTGTTCCTGAGCCAGGCAGAGTCCAAGGCAGTAACACGGGCTGGGTGGGGACTGTGACCAAGGAGGCTTAGCGGGAATAATTCTTTCTCAGGGCCACACACTCTAGATACCAAACTGTGGCCTGCCTGATCCCCTGTTTAAAGACAATGGAAGCGTGAGTTGTTAGGTAAACATTTGCCCTTTTTTTGTTTGTTTATTCATTTTTGGTTTTGTTTTTCTTCTGGTACCGGGAATCGAACTCACGACCTTGCGCTTGCCAGGTAGGTGCTGTGCCACTGAGCTAAATCCCCAGCCCCTCATTTGCCATTTTAAAAAAACATTTGCCATTTTGAAACTGGCAATTACCTGCAATTTTTAAAAAGCCAAGTATATTTAAGAGACTAAAAAAAAAAATAGCCAAAGATCACATCACCCCCCCCCCCCGTGTCTTTAGCCTCGGCCTAGACTCTAAGCACCATGGAGATAGGGGCCGTCTTGGTACCTGGGCCACTGTACACACAGGACCAGTGCTGGATGAGTGAATGAACAGATGATGAAGGAATGAGAGGGCAGAGGTGGGGTGGAAGGAAAGGAAAAGGAACATCAGGTTCAGTCTCCATGGTGAAGCTATACCCGTCAGTTTGGGAGAAGAGATGATCACTGATGTTATAGCTGAGGAAACCGAGTCGTTATGTGGAAGGCAGGTCTGCCGCCCACCAACCCTGCGTTCTCTCCCCTGGCCTGGGGCTCGGTTGCACTGGAGAGCCATTAGCACACCCTGGGGGCCCCACCTGCCCTTCCTGCTCCTGCACCCATCCCCCTCACATTCAGATCAGCTGTTCATGCCCACCCCGTGGGAGATGCCGAGTCGAACCCAGGTTGCACGGGGGCATCAGCCAAATGTGGTCATCTGGAGAAGCCCATCTTCTCCGCGCCTGTGTCTGAGTCAGGGATGCCTGTCAGAGAAATCCCTGCCCGTACGGAAGTCCTGGGCGGCAAGCTTTCCCTGTGGTGGGCGTTGCAGCCCAGCCGTGGTGGGCCCTTCTGTGCCACCATAGTGGGAAACAGGACATGATGTCTGATATCACTGAAGGGCCTGGATTCACCTCTTCTTCCTGAAGCCAATGCGCTAAGAATTTTCAGCTGTGTAGACAATAAGCTCTCTTGCTTCCTTAAGCTGATTAACGTCAGGGTGTCGTCATTCACTACTGAGAAGCTTTGGTTAATGTATCAATTAAGAGAGGAGGGAATGGTGCAAATGAAGAGCAGAGGCCGAGGCAGATTAGTTAGTAGGCAGCCAGGTCATGAAGTCCTCAGTCCCTAACAGTAATGTGCTGACGGTCAAGAGGTCTGTGGCTTTTGCCTCTCCAGCCTCTACTTCTGCTTCTCATCCTAGACCAGCTCTGGGTTTTCTTTTGAGAGAGCCACCCCCCACACAATACACCATCCGCCTGCTTCAGCCTCCTTATTTCCCTTGCCCCCTCGCCTTGTCTTGCTCCAAGCACTGCCAAATGATCCTGGTTGGCCCATGCAGGCTGACATGGGACTCTGTTGGAAGTACTGGCAAAATGTTTTTCCAGGAGATGAAAGGATGCAAAGTTTATAGGCACCAGTTTTGCTGTCACATGGGGACAGCTTCTATGGGAGCAAGGTCCACTCAGAGGAAAGCAAGTGAGGCATATTCCTTATGATGTGCTTTGAGTATCTGGGGTCAGCCATCGAGGTCGTTAACTCTACCCCCACATCAACCTGTATGTGAACCATTAAATTCGTATTTTCCCTAAACCAGCTTGGTTTAAGCTTCTGATTCTTGCATTCAAAAGAACCTTTGACATAATCTAGAATTTGAACCGTACTTATAGGGTCTCTTCTCTTTTTATCTCCAATCCAAAATGAGTTAGGCTGCATCTACCCTTCTGCATTTAACTGAGCAATAGGACAGGACCAAGACCACAATGTTGGGGGTCGACGGGGGAAACAAGGGCTTGCCTGGTACTCACTGTAAGAAGGGATCCCATAGGCTTGCGCTGGAGGCGGGTATGCTGTGTAGGGGGCGGCCTGCTGGATCCCAGTGCTGTACTGTGTCTGGCCATAGGCTGCCATGGCTGCAGAAGGTGGGCTGGGCGGGACACGTGGACAAGGTCTGCATGCAAGGAGAGAAGAAGAAATCTTAGTTCGGCACCCAGCATCACTTCCCCTGGATCTTGTTGTCAACACTGCCATTTTTCCTTGGGTAGTCAGTCTTTCAGGGCAGAAGCAACCTCTGTGCTCATCGAATCTCACTGGATTTTCCTCTTTCTGGGAACCTGGAGGATTGTTTCCTATCTCCCTTGCACTCAGATTGGACCAAGTGGCAGAGTTCTACCTAACGGAGTGAGGGTAGACACGTAAGCCATGCCCAGGTGTGGCCCATAAAAACACCCACTCCAATTCCCCTGCTCACCTGCAAAGGTGAGGGAAAGTCTGCAAGTGGCAAAATCATGACAGGGAGCACCCTGGTTCCCAGGCAGCTTGCGGAGGAGAGATGCCCTGCAATTTCACCCAGTCCATTCTGGACTTCCTGAGAGTAACAGAAACCTCTGCTATGTGCTACCACTGAGACTTCAAGGTTTACTGGTTACTGCGGCAGAACCTGTCCCACCCTGACTGTCTGTCCTAATTTAGACACCTTCCCAAGTTTAACAGGGCTGTCAGTCAAGATGTTCTGCTCTTAGCCAAAGGATTGGCACATGAAGCAAGATTATCAGATCAGGCTCTGTCCTGGGGATTTAAATCTTAGGCTGAATAATTTATTCCAATAGTCACATTGTGAAAGAAACTGTCTTTCAGTTCCTTCCTGTTGCCGGGGTCCCAGAAGCTCGGCTACTCTTGGTCTTCCTCAAGGCCTGATTTTCGCATTTTCACTTATATTGTAAATTATTCCAGATTGTTCCAAAAAGTCCTTATAAATTGACATCAGCTGGAGTTGCTTCCACCCAAGGGCCACAACTGGATTCTGTGTTCCAAGCTGAACAACAATTTCCATAAAGGGCCAGGCTTTCAGGGGCTGATCACTAAGACATTTCTAATACAATGACTGCTAGGCTGGGAATTGGGTCATATAACTCTGGCATATTGGAGCCTCTCTGGAACTCTGGGTGGAAGGTTATATAATTTCCATTTTAGAGATGAAAAAAATCAAAGCTCAGAGACCTGAAGTCACAGCTAGAATGAGGTAAATCTAGAATTTAAGCTCTGGAGTTCAACTCCAGAGCCCATGCTTGTGACCTTGCAGCTGTGCTACTACTTCTCACTTACGCCCTACAGGAGGATACAGTCAGTGAATTATTCTAACACAAAGCGGGGGTGGCAGTGGCCCACGGGCCATTCAGCCCATGGATCCACAGATATCATTTCTTTGGGCAGTGTATTTATTTTTCTCCCTAATTTGGACTTGTTGCCAATATTTTAAAACCAGGAGGTTGCACACACACACACACACACACACACACACACACAAACTTCATTCCCCCCCCCCCCGCCTTCTTTTGGAAAGTACGTATTTCTGCAAGTTTGTTCTATGGTGCTACTAGTTGGCCTTGAGTAGCAACCACCTCCAGACTGAGTGTCACTCTGTCTGCAACAGCCTTTACTGTTACTTCACTTAGTCATAAAAACAGCTAGCAAATCTCATGCCTCTCTTGTGCCAGGCCCTGTCCTAATTACTACTTTATGTGGATTGGATCATTTAAACCTCGCAACTCTGCCAACCCACGGAGATATCTTCTTCTTTTTTTTTTTTTTTCACAGAGATATCTTCTATCCTTATGCCCACTTTGCAGAAGAGAACACAGGCTGTCAGAGGCTCAGCAACACACCCAAAGCACACAACTGTCGTACACCGTGGAAGCTGGCCACACCCTAACTCCCTCCACCATGTGGCCCCGGCTGGACACCACAGCTGGGGCAATCTGACTACTCCAACTGGTGTGTGAGCGCTGGCAAACATTGATGAGACCCCAAAATCTGAGTCTGGGTCCATTTTGGTGACATTACATCACTGTCGTTAAAACTTGTTTGGCCCCAGATATTTTTTCCCCAGCTATTAAACATGGCAGGTTTGCCTGGCTAGGAAGCCTCATGGCAGGTGTAAGGTGAACCAAAAGTTTATGGAATTATAAGCACATGTCTGCCTGCTGTGCTTTCTTTTTGACTCAACCGCTGTGATAAAGGATTATTTGGGGAACTTGCTCCGAAATGCATATGAATCTCATTTGCGCTGGAGATGCCAGAACCAATCCTGGAGGGCGTTTCATCAGTCAATATCCTGGCTCTGCAGGGTGCCTGGGGCTTCCTGCTGCTCAGAGAATTGTGCTGGAAAGTGTTCCCGAGTCACACCCTGCCTCAGAAGAGAAGCAGAAGGTAGAAATCCGAGATGAACAACTCCTGCTTCCCATCAAAGCCAAGTTAAGCGACTCGGATTAAACGGGGAGAGGGGGGTGAAAGTTAAAAGCCAGAGAAAGGATGGTGGCGCTTTCTAACCCCCAGGCCTTTAGAAGAGTCGGAGATTTCACGGTCCTTGGTTGGCAGCTACTCCTTACCCCCCAAATATCTGAGGCGGGCCACGCAAATGTCTTCCTCCCAACAGTCTCTCCTTGGCAGGTAGGCAGGAAGATGCACAGATGCCAGGAGCGCCGCATCCGCCTTGAAGGTGGCACAGCGGGGGGCGGGGCTTAGCCCGGCAGGTCCGAGGGCGGCCTGCAGAGGGCGCTCTGGTGAGCCGCGCGCAGCCCTGGGCTCCCACCTCCCGGTCCTGGAGCTCTGTCTCCCCACCATCTGCGGGCAGAAGCTGCGTCTCCCTCACCCCAGTACCTCAGGGCTCAGCACAGCATGTGGTCCCTCGGAGTGCGGGGTGAACCGAGGAACAGGAAGAACAGAAAAAGGAGGGAGGGCGAGAGCAGGAGGGAGGAAGAGTCACGGAGAGAAAGAGAGAGGGGGACCGGAGAAGGAAGGAGCGGAGAGGAGGGCCGAGGGCAGAGGAGGTAGAAGGAAAGGACTGAGATCGAGTCAAGGAAAGAATGAAAGCATGAGCAAAGACAAGAAAGAAGACAACAGCCAACACTCTCAGAGCAAGATCCCAGGCCCCTCCTAGGCGGCTTTCCCACGTTTTCACTCATTTTATGGGGTAGAGAGCTGGGCTGTCCCATTCCCCCGTGGTGAGACAAAGGTGGACCAGCAGGGAACCTCCGGCCCCAGCCCTCTCTCCACCGCTACCTTCAAAGGAGGAAGGGGCAGCACGAGCAGGGGACAGGCGAGGACACTCACCTTGCCGGGAGCTGGGGCACACTCAGGGCAGCCGTTCTGGTGATGCCTGTGGGGTGGGGGAAATATGAAGAGTTTAGCCCATGAGGTGATGTTCTGCAGAGGCTGTGACTTCGGACGGTGACTTAAGGGGGAGGGACTAAGGGAGTCCACCCCGGTTTACCTGACGCCCCACACTGTGGCACTCTCCTCCTAAAGGGGGTCGGGACGCTTTCTGAGTGCCCTGCATCCCCGGGAAGTCATAGAAAGAATCTATAGCACTTCAAACATCAGAGTAGGAGCTACAGCCCTGCACACTGTCAGATGGAGAACCGAGGCCAAAGAGACACAAAGGATGTGATTGATACAGATCACCTGACCTCATAGCACCGCAGCTGGGGCCTGGCCAAGCGAGCGCCTCATCCTCCTGGAGAGAACCACTGCCTTCTCTGCCTCAAAACCAGCCCCAAGAACCGCAGAATGGCCCTGTGCGTCCATGTCCCCTCTTCCGATGATGGCACCTTGACACTGCTCCCTCCCCACTGCCGGCGCATGGATTCTGGGTGGGGCTGGCTCCAGCACTTCCAGGGAAGGCACTGTTGGGTCATCTTCTAGGCTAGGATGGAGGATGAGGCCTGCGCTCCTGATGGAAGTGTCTTCACGCCATCCAACCAGCTCGGGAGACAGGATGCAGAGGGTGGTGAGAAGTGACAGGAATAAGCCAGGCTGATTCACCGCCGTCCAGTTCCCTGGGAGATATTTCTGTGCTATGTCATCTTTAGAAACCCAACTCCATCCCCATGTCCTCACTGCAGTCTGGACAAATCCAGACGGTGTGCCCACCTATGGGTCGTGTGCACACTCACCTGCCAATATGCACTCCCTTTGTGAGGGCAGTGGCTGGGGGCGTGGTCCCCTGTGCCCCAAGCCCCGAGGGCTGTGCCTCTCTCAGCCCCTGAGTGGAGACTCAGGGGCCACTTTGCATTTCCAACCGCCCCCTGCCAGCTCTGAGACTTTGCAGGCTGCCTAGATCCCAGGCCTCAGAGTCGCCTGAGCAGCGGCAGTAAAAATCCACACCTCACAAGCATGTGTGTGTTAAGTGAGGCAGAGGATGATGATGATGAAATCCATTATTTACCTGGTGCTTGTTGTATGCCAAGATCCCTTCTAAATACTTTACTGGGATTAATTATTTTAATCCCCATAATCGCTCTCCTCACGTCCTTAGGGGAAGAGCAGGAGGCCCAGAGAGTTCACGTAACTCACCCAGGGCCACACAGGTCATAAGGGGCAGACGTGCGATCTGAACCCAGGCGGCCCAGCACTGGATCTGCCTCAACCATGACAAAGGGCGGACAAGGACAGCCATCATCAGATAGCAGTGAGCGTTCCTGCGGGAGCCGACGGTGTGCCGGGCCCTGGATTAATGGCTTAGAGGCGTGACCTCATTTAGTCCGCACAAGTGGGTCACATGCCGGGCAGCAGATAGAGGAGCTGGGGCTCTAAGGGCTGGGCACTGTACTCTAGTCCACAGCAAGGGAGCCACGACTCCACCCCAAGGGCTCTGTGAGTCCAGAGTGCAAACCTACACCCCTCCCCCAGTGTAGTCAGGTTCTGTCGAGTCCTGAACCACTGGGGTGGGGGTGGTCTTAACATTCATTTACAGAGTCATAACTAGAGTTCAAAAACAGAGAAATGTCTTTATGGTGGGGGTACTGGGAATTAAACCCCTTTCTTTTATTTTTAATTTTGAGACAGGGTCTCACTGAGTCACTAAGTTGTCCAGGCTGGGCTCAAACTTACGATCTTCCCGCCTCAGCCTCCCAGGATGCCAGGATTAAGGACATGGCCCACCCCCCAGGAATTATCTGTTCTATCTTATGAAATAGCATGTATTGCCAATAGTAAGAAAAATTGTGTGCGACTTTCATTTCAGTTACAGATGAGAGACTGTGTGGTGGGTGTACTGCTGAGTGGTGGTGTGAGCACACACGTCTTACGGATCACAATGACACAGACTGAGGAAGGTTACAGCAGCAGTGCGCTGATGTCAGGGACGGCGCCTGGCACCAGCAGATGCCCCACGATGCTCCTTCCCTCTCAGAGCTGGTGCCCCAGGCAGGACCCATCTCCCCTTCCTCTTCCTCCCCAGGGCCAGAGAACCAACTGCCTCATTCTGAAGCAGCCACCGTCTCATTACTGGGGAAGGCTCATGACTTGAGTGTATTTAGCAATACATGAATTACTGAATTAAACATTTGGAATGGTTTCTTTCATAAACATGTAAATATTCATAAAAATCTGCATCTAGGGGAACAGCATTCCTATGGGCTCCCATGAACTCGGCATCCCGTAAGTGGCAGGCGTCTTTTCTGCAGCCTCCACGGTGGCATTTGCATCGCCTGCGCCCATCCCTCTCAGCCATGGAGCCGCTGCCTCCCTCCCCATAGCTCTGCACCCCGTGACACACACCCCTTCCCACCCAGCGACCAGGAGCCTGAGGGGAGGAACAGGCGTTCTTGAGCGTGCAGAGGTTTCCCTTTTGCAGACTACGTGATTTTCGAAAAACAGACTTTGCCTGGATCTCACGTAACCTTTTCATCCTGAGACAGCTGGGGAAATCAGGAGGCTGGAAAACATGTTCATTATGTACAGAATGGCCTCCTTTCTCCCGCTTTTCTTTCCCACTCTCCTGCCCTCCTTCTCTGCCTCCCTTTCCCCCGGTGAGGATGCTGAGACTCCACTGATGACCCTGAGGGTGGTGCTCAGGCAGATCTCTAGGTCCCTTCCTCCCACAGGGGCCTGTGCTGGGACTCTGTTGAGGCTGGGGGTTCCAGGAGTTGGTCACAGAGCTGGGGCGAGGACTGCCCAGACGTGGAGCCAAGAGCCTCCTTTTTCCTCTGTGCTTTGCTGTCCAGGGCTGCTAGTCCCTGGAGGTCCTGGGCACCAATGGCTCACTGTGCATCTGTCGCTGCCAAAAATCGCTGCCTACCGGGAAGTGGGCCTGATGAAGTGGTCACGGCAGACAGCGCTGGCTTCAGTGCAGCAGGTGGAGATTACAAATCACCACGACAGTCACAGTGGATAACCTGGTCCTCCGGGAAGCCCAGGATGCCTTTTGGTGACTGCCCAGGTGCCCACTTCACCACTGTCTTAAGGTCATAGGATTCAACAGATTTTCCCAGATGGCAGGTCAGAGCCCGGACAGACATGAGGTAGAGACACAGGAAGCCATGTGTCCTGTTCAGCTTGGCAATGACCTTGCCACAGCCTTGGCAGCACCACTGGGCAGGGCTGGTGCTCTGGATGCACCCTGGCCACTGCATCACAGCGTGTCAGAGGGCAAGGAGGTGACGGGCATGAGTCCCTCCAGGACATACTGGCCTGGGGTAGGGCACATAAGCAATACCTGCAATCTGGAGGCCTGTCTTCAACATGGACCACCAGCAAGAGAGACAGAGATACTGAACCCTTGATGTACTCTGCAGGGGAGCCCCACCCACGGAGATGTGATGCTTAGTACCCCTCGACACTGGTGGATGGACACAAGCCTTGTCAGTGACACTGAGGTTGCCACGATGGACTCACATTACCGCATACAAGCCTTGAGGTTGAGCTCGATGGAAGGGTGACTGAATACAACTTAGAGGCCCCTTGGCAGGGGGGAACACAGTCCCAGTGCCACGTCACCCAGCAGGACCAAGTTTGTTTATTTCAACTTCACCAGCATGTCCTGGGGAATGTGGCTGGCACAAAAAATGGAGCAGCTAGCTCTCAGGAGGGCACAGGCAGAGAGCTCCCTCCACTTACTTCTGAATTTAAGTCTGTTCTTCCCTAGTACGTAGGGCTGAGGGCAGGATTAGCTAAGCAATGGTTGAACCTCTGGGATGTGCATCTCTGTTCGCTGCCCACCACAGCCAGGCGTGAGCTGGGAGCCGGGTTACCACAATGAGCAAGGGCAGCCGGGGTCCCTGCCCTGGTGAAGCCTCCTGTCTGTCTGCTGGGGAAGACGGGAGGCAAACACATCACCACACAGATGACTGCCGAATGACAAGATAGCGAGGTGCGGAGGGAGCAAGTAGGTGGTGTAGACCGAAGCACCCGGATTTACCTGGAGATTTTGCCAAAACACGGACTCTGATTCTACATGTCTCAGATGCTACCCAGGGGATGCTGATCTGCAGGTCTGCACCACGGCTTAACACAGATCTCCAAGTCACTGACAGCCGTTGCAATTGTGGGTTTGTACAAATAAGTCTCCATTCTAGAAGTCACACAGTCCAATACTGGGGCTAAGAAGGCAAGATAACCTGAACATCTCTTATCTGCAATACTTGGGACCACATGTGTTTTGGATTCTGGAGTTTTTTCAGATTTTGGAACATCTATACTAAGAGATCTTGGGGATGCATCAGCTTTACAGCCCCGTCACCAAATACCCAAGGCAGTTAACTTATAAAGAGAAAATTTTTACTTTGGCTCATGGTTCTGGAGATGCTAGTCCAAGAATGAGCAGTCGCATGGCCTTCAGCCTCTGGTGAGGGCACACTGCATGGTGGAAGTGTGGGGGAGGGAGGGGCACACAGTCCCCTTCATGGAGTGTCCTAGGACTACTGAATTCCCATAAGGGCCTGTCTTCTAAACATACACAGACCCTCCCAGCAGTGCCTCGCAGGTGACCAAGTCTATAATCCATAGACTTCTAGGGAGGACAGTCAGCATCCAAACCGTACCAGCACGGGACCCAGGTCATTTCATATACACCTTACGCACACAGCCTGACAGCGGCTTTCTGCAAAATGTATTTAATGATTGTGTGCAGGAAGCAAAGATGCCTCCACTTGGAGGCATCATGGAGGGGCTCATAAAGTTTCTGATTTTGGGGCTTTTCAGATTTGGATTTCTGGATGAGAGGAGCTCAATCTGTGTAGAGGAGCATAACGTAAGATCCAGTTTTCAAATAAGGAAACAACACTGTAGGGTTGTGTGAGTGTGCACTTATGGGTGATGGTGTGTATTTGTGATCATGTAATGTAACTTATCCAAGGACACACACAGTTCATTCATTCA